AAATCAAAATAATTCAATGCCAAAAATCATTTTCATTTTTTTGGCCAACAGTATACAATAATAAACTTTCAAAAGTCTATTTTTTGCCCTCCGTTTTCATTACGGTCTAGAAATTTTGTGTTGAAGTTGGTTGTTACTAGCAGATTAACGTTTCTTTTAGATTTAATAAGGGGCTGACCACCACATGTCTATCTGGTCAATAACTAGGAATATTTAGTCGTACATTCTTTAACTTTGGTGTAGAGGTTGGTCAGTTATAATTTGTAGATGAAACATATTGTCTCAGGTCAGCTGGTCTCTTCAGAAGTCAAGGTCGCTTAAGTTTCTGCTTCAAAACTTTGTTTGGTTTTATCTTCCATTGATCCGTCATAGTTTATGCTGTGGGTTTCTTTTTCTGTCTAGTAATGTTATTTTTACTTGTACGATATTGTTTAACCATATGCTTTCCCTTCCTTGGTTCAGATTAAACCTTTGTTTTGATAATTACAGAGAATTGATATTTTATTATGAAGTTTTTTTGGCTTGCATTTTAATTAACTAGACAAATTAAACTCGTCCTCTCTCTCCCTCCCCTTTCTCTCCTCTCTCTATGTGTTATGATGTAACAGGATGCAAAATTCTTAGTTAGCTTGTAGTAATACATGATTAGCCTCACCCCTAAGTATACAGCCTGGTCGACCTGAAAATCCATACAATGTGACCAAGCGTCATATTGTTGATAGCTCAATTTTTCTCTGTTTTTTTTTTATATTGAAATCCTTAAATTGTTTGATTTGTTGACTTTTTCATTTTTATTAAAAGTTGGTCAAACCCATATTATAAATTGTTTAATTCATCTGATTACGAATTCAAATGATATTTGTTGGTACATGCGTTACTTGTAAGGTTTTTTTTCAATGTACGTCAAATCATTGTGTTACACAGTATATATTTTCTTTAATTTTACTAGTAGTCTTTTAGTGTTTCAAAACATGATAGAACATGTTTCATCGTTTATTCCATGCAGTAATGAAAATAGTAACTTAATATTGTGATGTTAATAACAGTTAGACATGCCCCTTGTGTTGTGAATTTAATATGAGATTCAATTAATATAACTATTTGTTTTCTTGTCTCAAATCTACATATAAACAAAATGGTCATTGTTTGAATAAGAAAAAGTTAGCTTTTCTAGCTTTGTTAGCTTGAGTGGAGTTTTAATGTTGAAATATTTTTTGGCACACCTGAGCAAAGTGCGCAGAGATGACCTTTTGTGATGACAGTTTGTCCGTTATAAGCCAAAATTTCTTTAAAGAATTTCCTAAACCTTTTGATAGTTTTGAAACAAACATCACACGAATGATCCCAAGAACGTCCTCTACAAAAGTACAATGTACATATAAATAGTTCATAATAAATTAAATCTTTAAAGATTATCTCAGAAACCACAATGCCAAGAGCTTAGATATTTTGCATGAAACATCATATTGTGGTACAAGAGTTACATAAATCATGCCTGTTTGGTGATATATAGTCTCACCTAAAGGGTCGCTTAATTAATCTATGCTTATTTAGGAAAGTATTTTTAAGTCTTCTTTTATGAAACTATAATGTGCATAGATATAAAAAAGACTATTAATTCACTTGTAATAGTTTTGACAGCATTTTTGCACATAAATATGCCATTCACAAGAGATGGCCCTTTCTTATGCATCATAAACAATTTTTGTGTATATTGTTATGCACCGGGTGCCCCTTCTTCCGTCGGTTAGCAATTTCTTGACTGGTCTGTAACTTTTGAACTGATGGAATGAAATTGAATCTTCTCCCCAGGAATGTTAATATAATATAAATTAACCATGTGTAAAGCACAGTTTATTCTTCCTTAAGCATACTTAGTCATTATGTGTGAATTTAAAAATTTTGTGTCGGTTTGCATCTTTTGAACCGATAGATCTAGATTAAAACTATTTGGCAGAAATGTCTCACCCCTAAGTTCAATATTGACCTCGTCTGAGGGGTCACGAATATAGACTAACATAGTGAAATAGCTTTAAGCATTATTTAGTGAAACTACATTGACCACAGCTGGGATATTTTGCATGAAACAAATGTTAATCATGAACCTTAGGTTAATAGTGGCCCCGTCTAGGGCGTTACTTGATTTTGGGGTTTTACATCGCAAGAACCCAGAAAAGGTCATATGGCGACTTCATTGCTTTATCGGTGGAGGAAGACCGAAGTTGTCGTTCTCTGCAAAATTTCTGGACGAATGGACTCTCTTGTAGATTCATCAAGTACGTAAGCTGCTGGACAGCTTCCTCACATGAAAGAATCGGAAGTCTGTGATTGGATTCGTACAAAGAGCGGCGAGGGGCAAGTGGTTTGAAGGGAACGGCCTCAATCACTCGGCCTTGAAATTATTGAAGTCTTATTCTTTGAAACTACAATACACAGCGCATACCTGTTTGGCATGTAGCATAGCATTTCGGACCATTAACTTGTATCTTGATCATAACATTGTAAGTTCTTGGTGTATTGTCTTCATACTTGGCCACAACAACCCTTTGGACAAGACTTTAAGTCAGACAAACTAAACTTGACCTTCATTTATAAATGACAATGCATTCAAGGTTATATGGCTCAGTTACGCTTAATTTTTGCTATAAGTGGCTATAACTTTGTTTTTCTTTTTCACTGGATTTTTGCTAAAATTGAACGTAAAATGGATTATCTTCATACTTGAACAAAACAACCTTTAGACACTACCTTCTATAAGGTTGAATAACCTTGACATTGAGTGTTAAATGACCTTGACCATCAAGATCAAATTATCAAATTTGGTTAAATTTTCATAATTTTATTTTTTTACGGTTTTGATTTATACTTGGACAAAACAAAACTTGCCATCAAACAAACATATTAAATAATTTAGATGTGAACTTTAATTGGCCTTGACGGTCAATGTTAAGTTAATGAAACTTTTTTATTCTTTACTGTAACTGGCTATGTCTTTGCTATTTATAAATTTTATATGGATTATCTTCATATAAGAATAAAGCGTCCTTGAGTATATGACCGTCATGTATATTAAACTAAAAAGACCTTGGCTCATTAATGACCTTGACCTTGAATGTTAAATTTTTGAATTTCACTGATTTTGCTATAATTGGCATAAACTTTGTAATAAATAAATGGATTATCTTCATATATGTACAAAACAACCTTTTTTACAAGATCCTCTTGAAAGTTGAACTTTCACCTTGAGCTTTAAATGACTTCACAATCAAGGTTAAATTAAATTTTAGTTAAACTTTCATAATTTTGTTATTTATGTACGGATTTATTTATACTTGGACAAAACAAAACAAAATATATTGAATAATTCAGATGTTACCTTGACCTTTAATTTTCCATTACTTTTAGTAACTTATCTTATCAATTAACTGAAATTTGGACAAAAGGCACAGTTTAAGATATAAAATTGAACTTTGATTCAGGTGACCTAGATTTTGACCTAGTGACTTATTTTCTTGTCGTTTGATGTACAGCTATGAAATTTGGACCACATGTACAGTTTTAGATGTGAAATTTTCGATATTCGCGGACATAAATTTTGAGCCTGTGGCAATATCTCTTGTTCTTTGATGTGCATTTTAAAGTTTGGACCACATGCAGTTTTAGATGTACAATTGAAATTTTATATCATCTGACCTTGATTTTTACCTGATGACCTACTTTCTTTTATGTCCAGCCATGAAATTTGGACCATGTGCACAGTATTAATGATATCAGTTGACCAAATTTTGACCAAAAGACCTACATTCTTGTTTTTAGAAATAGCTCTAAAATTTGAACCATATGCAGATAGATTGACAGATACTTTTATTTCCTCCAATATTTGAAGAGCTGAACAAATAATAACAGTAATTACATACAATGTACATGATGTAACAATTCAAATATTCGTGACATCTAAATATATGAAAAGAATTTATATAGCATACTTGTGAATAACTGTAAAGCTTTTAGAGTGCGTGTCCTAGACGAAACGAAACTCTAGAAACTTCTCTCTGGTAAGTGAATGATATATAGTTCACTTAAATACAACACTTTTCTATTATTCGAAAAGTTAGACAAGTTATCTGAATATAAGTGACATAAAACTATATTTATCAAATAAGTTATTATATGTTTTAGATGTAAAAGATGTAAAATTAACTTTGATATCAGCTGAGCTAGTTTCTTTCCTAGTGATCTTCCTTCTTGTCCTTTGATGTACAGCTATGAAATAATTTGTACCATGTGAACAGTTTCAGATGTAACATTGATCCTTGTGACATACTTTATTTTTTAAAACTTTTTTTTCATATAATTATATTTTAAAGATTTATTTGAACCTTTTATGTGTTTGCTTTTAGAAAAACTAAAATAGTCGAGCGTTGCTACCGTCTGGCGGTGGCTCTTGTTATAAGATTTATTTCGACAACAATGAAGATGTTTAAACTAAAACTTCATGTCATGTGAAAAAATATTTTTAATAAACTTGAAAAATAGAAAAATGCTCGTGTGAAGATAATGGACGATTTTTTTGCTATGTTGAAAATTCTGTTTGTCATGACAACATACATACTTACATATGGCAAATATAGCAATATATTGTGAAAACTCAAAAAGTAATATTTTAATTAAACATAAAATAGGGATATATAGCCGTAAGGAGCCTATGTACGTCTTTTTTAGCTCATTTTTTGTCGACTTTCTTTAAGTCAAGACAGTAAAGAAGATGTATAATTGCACTTAATATTGACCTTGATTTTTCATTGACACTAACGGTCAAATGAGTTAATTTCCTTACAATTGCCCATAACTTTCAAATATATTTATGAATTTTATTTAAACTTGAACAAAATAACACATAATTGTTTTATGACACAATCGACATGATGAATTATTCAAATATGACAATGACCTTTATTAACTTTGACAGTCGAGATCAGACTATTGAATTGTGCTTAAATTGTCATTACTTTGTTATTTATTTATGAGGTTTACTTGATCAATTAATCAGGTACTGATTTACAGTCATGTAAATATAGATATAATTTTTTGTTGTCCAATTTGTAGTATATATATTTGTTCAATTTATATCGTAAACCTCTATATAATCCCGAACTCGCCGTCCAACTATCAGTCTCATGTGATTGCGATCATAGCAAACCGCCACACAACCTCCTCTTTGACCATCTGATGTAAGTATTTCTCCCATCACCTCACCATTTGGAGAAAATTGTACAATATTGTTAGATGATTCACCGCAAACAAGTATATCTCCACGGTCTGTTTCACAAATCTCCTTCGCGTATCTGAGATTGGTGGGGTTATATCTTCCATGTAATTTACCATTCTTACTAAGAACTACTAGACCATTTCTAGAGTCAGCAATATAAAACCTCTCACCATCATGACTGACAGTAAGACTGAAGATACTGGCAAACAAGTTATCACCTGGCTGATCCTCGAAAAATTGTAACATCATTATCCCTGTCTTGTCGTAGACAAAGATAGTCTTGCTTGTATCAGTTACATAAATTTTACCATTTCTGTACCCTAAGCCATAACAGCTATGATCAGTTTTTATTTCCCGTGCTACTTTAAGAGGACCTTCAGTAGTTACAATGTTAATGTTTATCTCACCGAAAGATACAGCTAACTCATTGTCATCTTCACAAATTTGCCACGGGGATCTCAGAAATTGACAGACATCTATAATTTTAGATGAAGTCAGGTCAAGACGCTTTAAACTTTTATTGTATCTGTCCGCTATTATAACAGACCCATCCTTTAGGATACATATACTGTATATATCATTATTGGTGTATATGTCTGAATTATGTTTGATACTAATCTCCTTTCTTTCCCCAAGCCAATGTATAGAAGGCTTTTCCACAATTTCTCCCAATATGTCCATATGATCTATCATTGACATCAGCTTTTGTTGACCTTCAAAGACAACATCAACTCTTTTAAATTGCACTGCCTCCTTTTTCAAAACACAGTCTGCCAACTCTGTAACTGTTTCAGCTGCTTTCATTCTCACAAATTTTTGCGAAACGTTGGAGGCGGCGGATATAATATTTGCTGCTGAAGTCTGAACATCTGTTTGGATAGTTGTCAGTATGGTTACTTGCTCTTCAAACATCTTGATTAATGCTTTGTGTTTTTCTTCTATGTTATCAATGATCTTCCTTTCAAGATTGTCAAGTTTCTGGTTGATGTCAAACCGGAACTGCTTTATTTTTTCAACTTCTTCTTCTTTCCGTTCAAACAGACGTTTCAATTCTTGTTGTAGAATTTTCAGCTGAAATTCAATGTCATCGGTAACAGATATCATCTTCCGTTTAACGTCTTCACATTGACGTGTAGGGTCATGATCTAAGACATACTCAGGCACATAGAAAACATCGATACATAACCTGAAAATTTAGAATAATTTATCTGTTTATATTGCCAGGGGAATGCATTTATATTACATAACCATTTGACATTATATTCTTTTATGAAAGCTGGTTGAATTTTATGCATAGTGTTAAAGCAGATTTGCATAAATATAGTGGTATGTTTCCTTTCCAAAATGTCATGTTAATGCACATTTCTATGAGCTATTTGAAACAAGAATCGTATTTGTAAATCAATCATTTTGCTTCTTGTTAGGATTATATAAGAATAATCCATTCGACATATATTCTCGTATGTTCATAAACCAGTTTTCTTTGTAATTAATTGTTTGCTTCTGATATTGAGAAAAGAAGAATTCAATATACTTTCAAAGTGCATTTTGTAATAATGTATAAATTGATGAATGTTAAATTCTCATATGACTGACATCAACAAACAATTAACTTAGAAATGCCTTTATTAATTTACATTTGATACAGCTAATTATCGTACTATGTAAATTATACATATCTCTTTTAAGCTTCAACAGATATGTTTGTTATTTCTCTGACTTTTGTTCATATAAAAACAGAATTGTCCGACCTTGAATTTGTATATCATTCGGCCGGTTTTAATATATGTTTTTAATATGCACGATATTAATTCAAGTCTTGGAGATAATCTACTTCAATATACATGTATCAACAAGCAGAAGTAACTTTATTTCAATTATTATTATTTTCAAATTGGTTACAATTTTACATGTGTTGATTTTGAAAAAAGTACAGCTTGAATGTGTTAAAATTGTGTCATAGGCGTATTTTATTTTAAGCCATGAAAACTATGCGGTACATAACCATTTTGTAAAATTTAAATAATATCTTGGTATCGGTATGCCGTCGCTTTGTGGTTTTTGACAATTTGACATTCGTAAATAAATTTGTGAAGATAGTGCAGGAAGTACAGAAGATGACCCATTTCAGAAGCATATGTGCCCGGTGTAAAGCACCTATACACGGGACCTCGGTTTAAAGTCCCATCCGAAAGACTGTTGGTAATGTTAGGGAGGAACGGGTGATCGAACTCAAGACCCCTGGATTATATATATGTATTAACCACCAGACCACAGGTCCGCTCCTAAATAAATGTTCATTCAATTAAGTATTAAAGTTTAGCCCGCTGGCCCACCAGCCCGCCCAGTTCACACTGCTAGCCCGCTACACTGTAAGCCCGTCTACTTTACACTGCTAGGAAATGTTTCATTACGTTTTAATGTTGAATCAATTAAGTATAAAAGTTTAGCCCGCTTGCCCGCCAGCCCGCTCAGTTCACACTGCTAGGCCGCTACACTGTTAGCCCGCCCACTTCACACTGCTAGAAAATGTATCATGAGGTTTTAATGTGGATTCAATTAAGTATTAAAGTTAAGCCCGCTGGCCCGACAGCTCGCCCAGTTCACACTGCAACCCGCTACACTGTTAGCCCGCCCACTTCACACTGCCAGGTAATGTATCATAACGTTTTCATGTTCAATCAGTTAAGTTTTAGAGTTTAGCCCGCTGGCCTGCCAGCCCGCCCAGTTCACACTGCTAGCCCGTTACACTGTCAGCTCGCCAACTTCACACTGCTAGAAAATGTATCATGAGGTTTTAATGTTCATTCAATTAAGTATTAAAGTTTAGCCCGCTGGCCGGCCATCCCGCCCATTCACACTGCTAGCCTGCTACACTGTTAGCCCGCCCACTTAACACTGCTAGGAAATATTTCATAACGTTTTCATATTGATTCAATTAAGTATTAAAGTTAAGCCCGCTTGCACGCCAGCCAACTCAGTTCACACTGCTATCCCGCTACACTGTTAGCCCGCCCACTTCATACCGCTAGGAAATGTATCATAACGTTTTCATGTTTCATTAAGTATTAAAGTTTAGCCCGCATTCCAGCCAGCCCGCCCAGTTCACACTGCTAGCCCGCTACACTGTTAGCCCGTCTACTTTACACTGCTAGGAAATGTTTCATAACGTTTTCATAATGATTCAATTAATATTAAAGTTTAGCCCGCTTGCCCGCCAGCCCGCCCGTTTCTCACTGCTAGCCCGCTACACTGTTAGCCCGCCCACTTCACACTGCTAGGAAATATTTTATACCGTTTTCATGTTGATTCAATTAAGTATTAAAGTTAAGCCCGCTTGCCCACCAGCCCGCTCAGTTCACACTGCTAGGCCGCTACACTGTTAGCCCGCCCACTTCATACCGCTAGGAAATGTATCATAACGTGTTCATGTTGATTCAATTAAGTATTTAAGTTTAGCCCGCTGGCCCGCCAGCCCCTCAGTTCACACTGTTAGCCCACTACACTGTTAGCCCGCCCAGTTCACACTGCTAGGATATGTATAATAACGTTTGCATGTTGAATCAGTTAAGTTTTAGAGTTTAGCCCGCTTTCCCGCCAGCCCGCCCAGTTCACACTGCTAGACCGCTAGACTGCTAGCCCGCCAGTTCACACTGTTAGCTCGCTAGACTGCTATCCCGCTCAGTTCACACTGTTATCCCGCTAGACTGCTAGCCCGTTACCCCGCGTACTTCACGGCAATATTGTCACCATCGTACTGTTGTACTATCATCATCGTACTGTTGCCTTCCTGTTAGGCATGCGCAATATTAAATATAAGCATGGAGAAAAAAGTTGACCGTGTTGACCGTCTTATTTTAATAATGCCCTAACATACACGTTAATTCTCTTGTATTGATGAGAGAAGTTTGAAGTAGTTGTTGATAAAAATAATCCAGGTCTGTTAAGAAAATCCTATATGTTACAAATAAATCAAATAAAAAATTTCTTGAAAAGTCCTATTTGTTGAAAATAGGTTACATTTTATTATAAAGCTCTTTATTTATGTAGATAGATTTTGATTCTGTTAACTTTCGATTTCCATGATAGTTGATCTTTGATAGAGTTAACATTTTTTTTATAAAAAGCCGGTATCAGTTCAAAGTATTGCAAGCTCCTTTTAGCTTAAGAACATCCAATGTACACTCTGGATAACCTAAAATAAATATAATTCAATAAACATGAACGTAAGTAAACTTTATGCATAGTGCATAAAACTCCAAATATTACTCTAATTATAAAATGTAGACTGCAATAGGTAAATGATTCGATACGATGGTGACAGTACGATGGTGACAATAAGACAGTACGATGGTGGAAATACGGTAATACGAGAGTACGATGATGACAGTAAGATGGTGACAATATGACAGCACGATGGACTCTCACTGTCGTACTGTGGTGCTTCGACATCGTTCTCTGTCGTACTGTTACCCCTAACGGAACACCGTATTAGATAAAGAAGCTTTAAATAGAACAGAGATACCTCGAAAAATAAATACGAAATAGTTTAATAAAAGAGAGAAAAAGAAGTCATGTGATACATACTATAAAAAACTTAATTAAAATCGTGTGCAAAAGGTTGCTTATAAATAATCCCTTTATCCAAATGACATAAGAATAATTTTATAAATTGCGTATGAAAATCAATTTAGATTGTAGTTTTAGAAAGTAGTGATACTCATTTCATGATACTATTTAACAGGATTTTAAACCTTATAGATGTGTCAAAATAGCCATTTTATTTATGAAAAGAAACACAAATGTCCGCCATTTTGTGTTATTTATTGTTTTGACGTGACGTCACAATTGTGGCGTTTTATCCGGTTCGCGCGTTGTGTATTTATATGAAATGAAATTGGAAAGAAAAGAAAAAAAAATGATTTCGAAAGAAGCTTCATATATGTCAGAAAGCTTATTTTCAGCAAGTCTCCTTGTTGGTAAGCAGATCCAGTGAAGGAACCGAATAACGCAGCAAGTCTAGTTGAGCCTTAGCAACGGTCAGCTTCCGAGTAAAGAAGCAAGTCTAAGAACGGTCAGCTTCCCAGTAAAGAAGCAAGTCTTAGAACGGTCCACTTCCCAGAAAAAAAAGCAAGTCTAAGGAGCGCAGCAAGTCCAATAAGCGCAGCAAGTCCAAGAAGCGCAGCAAGTCCAATAGTGTAGCAAGTCCAATAGTGCAGCAAGTCCAAGAAGCGCAACAAGTCTTATAGAGTGCAGCAAGTCCAAAAAGCGCAGCAAGTCTAAGGAGCGCAGCAAGTCCAAGAAGCGCAGCAAGTCCAATAGTGCAGCAAGTCCAAGAAGCGCAGCAAGTCTAATAGAGTGCAGCAAGTCCAAGATGCGCAGCAAGTCCAAGAAGCGCAGCAAGTCCAAGAAGCGCAGCAAATATAAGAAGCATAGCTAGTCCAATAGTGCAGCAAGTTCAAAAAGCGAAGCAAGTCTAAGAAGCGTAGCTAGTCCAATAGTGCAGCAAGTCCAATAGTGCAGCAAGTACAATAGTTTTTTTTTTTCAGCAAGTACAATATAATAGTGCAGCAAGTCCAATACTGCAGTATCTTAGCAGTGCAGCAAGTCCAGGAGGAATCTTAACTTATAATCACAAATACCGCTCAAAATATCGATAAAAATCTCATGAAAGTGAAAAACCAAAACTTGACAAGATGATTCAATTGAAATATTTTGTGCTTTTGAATACCGTATTTGAATATTGAATTCCTATGGATACGGAATTTCGTTTTTATTAGTATTGTTTAACCCTATCTACATAATAATGTTTTGCTAATGACTCCTCTGTAACCTGAAGTTATATTAGAATGGAAACAGGAACAATGCATACTTAAAATCTTTAAAATTAAAAGGGGTTTACGTTAATGGCTCATAAATATCATTGTTAAGATAAAAAAAGAACTCCAAGTCGGTATAATTAAAGACATGCGGTGGCAAGACTTGTCGAAATATGTAAATGTGGGTTCTGTGCCGCGGTACGGCATATAACGCAAATGACGTTACGTCAAAATATATGCAGTACAATACCATTTTTACAGAGTCGCGAAACCGGCACGTATAATTTTAATATAAAAAACTTAACACATTTTAATGCATATATATAGTATAGTTTATAGTCTTCAAAAACAAAACTTCACGATATATACGGTACATACGGCCAATCTGTTAAAGCGTTTTCAGCTTTTCAAACTAGGGAAAACTTATTTTCATTTCTTTAATGAAAACACAGTTTAACTTGCTTAATGTTTGATACTGTATGCGATAAGTGGTTGAATTATCAAATAATTAAAATGCTGATTTAAAAATATTTTTTTTTCTGAAAGAAAACCTTCGAATGTATCGTTTCAAGTACTTGCGTTCATTGAACGCCGCCTTTCCTTGTTTGATCTTGTTTATCATATTTAATACGAGCTATTTCTTTGGGGCAGTTAGCTCACTCTGGAAGTGCTTATATTGTTTGTAGATTTCTCTTTTGAATATAATGTTTTAGTTTTCAGTCTACATTTGTGCCGGTTAAATAGAAAGAATAAACCTAATTCCGTTCAATAAATGTACGTCTAACAATGAGACATGTGCGCTTGATTCATTAAATTTGATATGTAGTGTGGGGTTTGATAGACAAAAGACTCACTCAATGAGGTTAATATATAATTTAGAATAAACCTGTAACAATAGAATAATAATAAGACATAACAATACAAACAATATTTTACAAAACAAATACATTTCACAAAATACATAATACAAAATTTACACGACAATTCAATTTAAAATAAGAACAATTCACAAATAAATTAATGAATACATACCAGACCTTTTATGTATAAATTATATAATAAATAGCAAAATATTTCTATAAAGAAATTACTGTAATACTAAAGAATTAGTTTTCACTTCGAACTTTGAAAGCGATGAAAGGAATGGTCAGTTACCCAAGAAAATGTTAGCTATCCAAGAATCAAAATCTTCTTAAAATATTTTTTTCATACAAAATCAATCATTCATCACTCAACTGGAAAACCAATTCAATCACCCATAACAAAACATAAACACATAACACCACAATAGATCTGGTCTGACTTTTAAAGATAAATTACCATATTCATTATAAAAAGAGAACTTGGCTTAATTTAACCTTATCTACAAATATTTATTTTAAGACTGATTTTTCTTATTAATCATTGTTATGAAATAACATTACTTATAATTATGATTATACTGAAATTCAGTTTTTTGTTGACCGTAATAAAACGTAAAAAGTGTTAAAAGAATTTTGACATTAATTTCCGATCTTCTGAATATATGGAAACAGGAATGTCAACGGTGAAATTACAGTTTTACCATCTTTAAAAAAACTAAAGTATTGTTTTTATAAAAACAATAAACAGTCATCTGTTATACTAATGTTGTCATTAAAGAATTTCAGGATAAAATGTATCAAACAATAAGACAGTACGATGGTGGAAATACGGTAATACGAGAGTACGATGATGACAGTAAGATGGTGACAATATGACAGCACGATGGACTCTCACTGTCGTACTGTGGTGCTTCGACATCGTTCTCTGTCGTACTGTTACCCCTAACGGAACACCGTATTAGATAAAGAAGCTTTAAATAGAACAGAGATACCTCGAAAAATAAATACGAAATAGTTTAATAAAAGAGAGAAAAAGAAGTCATGTGATACATACTATAAAAAACTTAATTAAAATCGTGTGCAAAAGGTTGCTTATAAATAATCCCTTTATCCAAATGACATAAGAATAATTTTATAAATTGCGTATGAAAATCAATTTAGATTGTAGTTTTTAGAAAGTAGTGATACTCATTTCATGATACTATTTAACAGGATTTTAAACCTTTATAGATGTGTCAAAATAGCCATTTTATTTATGAAAAGAAACACAAATGTCCGCCATTTTGTGTTATTTATTGTTTTGACGTGACGTCACAATTGTGGCGTTTTATCCGGTTCGCGCGTTGTGTATTTATATGAAATGAAATTGGAAAGAAAAGAAAAAAAAATGATTTCGAAAGAAGCTTCATATATTGTCAGAAAGCTTATTTTCAGCAAGTCTCCTTGTTGGTAAGCAGATCCAGTGAAGGAACCGAATAACGCAGCAAGTCTAGTTGAGCCTTAGCAACGGTCAGCTTCCGAGTAAAGAAGCAAGTCTAAGAACGGTCAGCTTCCCAGTAAAGAAGCAAGTCTTAGAACGGTCCACTTCCCAGAAAAAAAGCAAGTCTAAGGAGCGCAGCAAGTCCAATAAGCGCAGCAAGTCCAAGAAGCGCAGCAAGTCCAATAGTGTAGCAAGTCCAATAGTGCAGCAAGTCCAAGAAGCGCAACAAGTCTTATAGAGTGCAGCAAGTCCAAAAAGCGCAGCAAGTCTAAGGAGCGCAGCAAGTCCAAGAAGCGCAGCAAGTCCAATAGTGCAGCAAGTCCAAGAAGCGCAGCAAGTCTAATAGAGTGCAGCAAGTCCAAGATGCGCAGCAAGTCCAAGAAGCGCAGCAAGTCCAAGAAGCGCAGCAAATATAAGAAGCATAGCTAGTCCAATAGTGCAGCAAGTTCAAAAAGCGAAGCAAGTCTAAGAAGAGTAGCTAGTCCAATAGTGCAGCAAGTCCAATAGTGCAGCAAGTACAATAGTGCAGCAAGTACAATATAATAGTGCAGCAAGTCCAATACTGCAGTATCTTAGCAGTGCAGCAAGTCCAGGAGGAATCTTAACTTATAATCACAAATACCGCTCAAAATATCGATAAAAATCTCATGAAAGTGAAAACCAAAACTTGACAAGATGATTCAATTGAAATATTTTTGTGCTTTTGAATACCGTATTTGAATATTGAATTCCTATGGATACGGAATTTCGTTTTTATTAGTTTTGTTTAACCCTATCTACATAATAATGTTTTGCTAATGACTCCTCTGTAACCTGAAGTTATATTAGAATGGAAACAGGAACAATTCATACTTAAAATCTTTAAAATTAAAAGGGGTTTACGTTAATGGCTCATAAATATCATTGTTAAGATAAAAAAGAACTCCAAGTCGGTATAATTAAAGACATGCGGTGGCAAGACTTGTCGAAATATGTAAATGTGGGTTCTGTGCCGCGGTACGGCTGCATGGCGCTGCATCATGACATACTGGTATATCGGCATATCGTTGCACCTCTAACACATATTTAATCATATATATCGGGGGTATCTCACCAGGAACTGTCTGTGGGTAAAGTAAATTGGAAATTGGAAGACGCAAATTAAGTGAATTAAACAAAAATCACTACACTAATTTTAAGTGACATTTACCTTATTATATTAATCTTTAAATTTTGGCTAAAGCATTTCATGACATAAATTTAATTACATCCTACCTGTGATCTACTGTAATACATGTAGAACAACCAACGTTATCATGACTTTGACAATACATGTCAACAGGTTTAAACCCGTGTTTCTCGCATCTTTGTGTTGGTGTCTCAGGCAAAATTCCGGTTGGTCCATCGTTGATTTGACCTTTATCTAGAATCTTATGTCCAGACAGGGCTGGAATATCCTCATGAAATTTTACACAATACGAGCAGTAATAATCATGGCAATCAGCGCAATATTTGTCCGCTTCATTATTTCTTTCCTTACGTTTACAGGGTGAACATAACACGTGAAATAGTTCAGCTGACTGGTTTTCCATCTCACTTCCCGAAATGGTGGCCATTTTGCTTGATGCAAATTGACGTTCTATAAAATAAAGTCCATTTTTGTTTTCGTTATCTAATATAGAAAAAATATCACGATCGATACTGCGCTAAAAATAAACTATATCATTTCAGATAAGTAGAATGTAAATGTATTTAGGTTAAACTAGTTAATATAAAGGTAGTTTTATTGGGTACTTTGTTTACAAATTCAACTTATATAGTATACGAATATAGTATGCATTTATCGCAAATCCAAATTAACAATTGTATACAGTTTTTCAATAACGCACTTTACCCGTCTTTACACTGTGTTCATATAACGCAAATGACGTTACGTCAAAATATATGCAGTACAATACCATTTTTACAGAGTCGCGAAACCGGCACGTATAATTTTAATATAAAAAACTTAACACATTTTAATGCATATATATAGTATAGTTTATAGTCTTCAAAACAAATACTTCACGGTATATACGGTACATACGACACAATCTGTAAAGCGTTTCAGCTTTTCAAACTAGGAACACTTATTTTCATTTCTTTAATGAAACACAGTTTAACTTGCTTAAATGTTGATACTGTATGCGATAAGTGGTTGAATTATCAAATAATTAAAATGCTGATTTAAAAGATATTTTTTTCTGAAAGAAAACCTTCGAATGTATCGTTTCAAGTCTTGCGTTCATTGAACGCCGCCTTTCCTTGTTGATCTTGTTTATCATATTTTAATACGAGCTATTTCTTTGGGGCAGTAGCTCACTCTGGAAGTGCTTATATTGTTTGTAGATTTCTCTTTGAATATAATGTTTTAGTTTTCAGTCTACATTTGTGCCGGTTGAATAGAAAGAATAAACCTAATTCCGTTCAATAAATGTACGTCTAACAATGAGACATGTGCGCTTGATTCATTAAATTGATATGTAGTGGTGGGGTTTGATAGACAAAGACTCACTCAATGAGGTTAATATATATTTATTCTATAAAGAATAAACCTGTAACAAATAGAATAATAATAAGACATAACAATACAAAACAAATATTTTACAAAACAAAAACATTTCACAAAATACATAATACAAAATTTTACACGACAATTCAATTTAAAATAAGAACAATTCACAAATAAATTAATGAATACATACCAGACCTTTTATGTATAAATTATATAATAAATAGCAAATATTTCTATAAAGAAATTACTGTAATACTAAAGAATTTATGTTTTCACTTCGAACTTTGAAAGCGATGAAAGGAATGGTCAGTTACCAAGAAATGTTAGCTATCCAAGAATCAAATCTTCTTAAAAATATTTTCATACAAAATCAATCATTCATCACTCAACCTGGAAAACCAATTCAATCACCCATAACAAAACATAAACACATAACACCACAATAGATCTGGTCTGACTTTTAAATATAAATTACCATATTTATTATAAAAAGAGAACTTGGCTTAATTAAACCTTATCTACAAATATTTATTTTAAGACTGATTTTTCTTATTAATCATTGTTATGAAATAACATTACTTATAATCTTGATTATACTGAAATTCAGTTTTTTGTTGACCGTAATAAAACGTAAAAAGGGTTCAAAAAATTAGACATTAATTTCCGATCTTCTGAATATATGAAAACAGGAATGTCAACGGTGAAACTACAGTTTTACCATCTTTAAAAAAACTAAAGTATTGTTTTTATAAAAACAATAAACAGTCATCTGTTATACTGATGTTGTCATTAAAGAATTTCAGGATAAAATGTATCAAACATGAAATGTTCATTCATTATGTGTTTTCTGAAGATTATTTAAAGTGAATTTCATTACAGATGTCTTGATATATCATCAATCAATTGATACAGATGCTCAATTTTTCAGATATTCATTCACCGCCATGCAAATTTAGATGTCATTTGTTTTTTGTTGTTCAGTTCATATCGTAAACTTCTTTATAATCCCGATCTCGTCCAACTATCAGTCTCATGTAATTGCAATCAAAGCAAACCGCCCGCAACCCCTTTTTGATAATCTGATGTAAGCATTTCTCCTACTACCTCACCATTTGGAGAAAATTGTACAATATTGTTAGATGATACACCACAAACAAGTATATCGCCACTGTCTGTTTCACAAATCTCCCTCGCGCCTCTGAGGTTGGATATATTATTTTTTCCATGTAATTTACCTTCCTTACTGAGAACTGCAAGACCAAATGCATTGTCAGCAACAAAAATCATCTCACCATCGAGACTGACAGTAAGACTGAAGATGTTGCAAAACATGTTCTCACCTGACTGATCTTTGGAAAATTGTTTGAGCATTGTCCCTGTCTTGTTGTAGACATAAACAGTCTCTATTGAATCAGTTACATAAATGTTCCCATTATTGTACCCTAATCCAAAACATTTATGGTCGGTTTTTATTTTCCGTGTTACTTTAAGAGGACCTCCAGTTGTTACAATGTCGATATTCATCCCTTGAGAGGATACAGCTATCTCATTGTCAACCTCACAAATTTGCCAAGGGTAATTTGAAAGTTGACAGACATCTACTATTTTGGATGAAGTCACATCAAAACGTTTTAAGCTTTTATTTTTGTAATCAGCGGTAATCACACAGCCATCCTTAAGCTTACATATACTGTGTATATCATAACAGGAGTTTGAGTCTGAATCATGTTTCATACTAATCTCCTTCTTATCCCCAAGTCTATATATAGCAGTTTTTCCACAATTTCTCCCAATATGTACATTTGGTCTATCATTAACATCAACTTCGGTTGTTGTTCAAAGACAACATCAAATCTTTTGAATTCCACTGCCTTCTCTTTTAAACCATTAACTGCTCTTTCTGTAACCGAGTAAGCAAGTTTCATCCCAACAAACTTTTGCGCCACATTTGATGAGGTGGATATAATATCTGCTGCTGAAGTCTGAACATCGGTCTGGTAAGTTGTCAATATGGTAATTTGCTCTTCAAACTTCTTGATTAATGCTTTGTATTTATCTTCTATGTTATCAATGCTTTTCTTTTCAAGATTGTCAAGTTTCTGGTTGATGTCAATCCGGAACTGTTTTATGTTTTCAACTTCTTCCTCTTTCCGTTTGAACAGACGTTTTATTTCCCGTTGTCGAATTTTTAGCTGAAATTCAATGTCACCGGTAACAGCTAGCATTTTACGTTGAACGTCTTCACATTGACTTGTAGGGTCATGATCTAAGACATACTCAGGCACGTAGAAAACATCGGTACACGACCTGAAAATTGGTAATAATATTTACTGTATATATTGCCAGGACAATAAATTGACTTTACATTAGACATTATCATGTAATTCTACTTAGATAGGAATGATGAAACTTATTGAATTATATTAGTACGTAAAATGGAGTTGCATCATCTATATAATTGAAAGTGTGCTTTGTTAAACTGATATTTAAAGGCACACTTCTTGGAGCTCTTAAAAATGTGTCGTATTTGTATACCAATATCTCTACTTCATTTTTACAATCATATGAAATTGATCAAGACAAATGTATAATACACTCATACTATGTATGACCTTCATAACACGAAGCAAATATAGCTTTATTAAAAATAAAAAACTTCATTAACTTCGTAAAAGAATATCATATTTTATATGTATGACCATCGTTATATAAAGCAAATATAGTTTTATTAAAAAGGATAACTTCTATTACTTCGTTATTGATGTTAGCAGCACATGAGAATGAGAAATTATAAGCCCCTAGAATTTTGAATATTCTTGTTAATAACATGACGGTTCGATATACATAATAATAAGTGAAGAAAAAGGATTGGATATATTTGCTTTGTGTATATTATAAGAACGATAAATAGTCTTAAAGATCCTGTATATTATAATTGAGGTTGTATACTACACTTTTATATATGTATATAATTATGCTTATAAAACAATTTTAAACCTAGAAGAATATGTAAATTATGTACTGCAAATATTTGTGCCATTAAAATATATAAATATATGCATTCATTTCTTAGTGAAGAATTTGACTTTGACCTTTTAGAAAATAAATTTCTAATTACATCCCTTTATTTACATGAAATGTTGAATTCGGTAATATCTTTATAAATAATATTTTTGGAACTTACACTATAGATAAATCTTAATTTGAGCATCATATTTATGATATATAACCATAAAAAATTTTTTGTTACAGGATCTTTAAATCTGACACATAACAATTAACATGCCTTTCTATATCAATTCGCCTTTACAATTGATACAGCTTGCTACACCATTTTTTGAATTATACATGTCTACGAGTTTTTTTTACATAATTATATGGATATGTTATTTCATCTTTCCCATGTTTATTAAATGATTAAGTCATAATTGTACTAGCTTGAATTCGTCTATAACTAATCCGTTTAAAAGGTACATTATGCCTCACAATCCATATTTTTTAATTCTTTAGAAATGTCTATAATGTATTTAATTATGATTTGATAATGAATTTTGAGCATCTTATATGTTTAACAACTGAACAAGTACAGTTATGCGTCATAAAGGTAGCACAATGTAAACAAAGTAGTATATTGACTACTTTACAAAATACTAAGTCACTAAATTATACCAACTGCAAACACGGCAAAAGAAGTGCTAGATAATTTATATATGTGGCAAAAGAGCAACTTATTAGAAACTGTAACATGATACCAAAAATAAGATAAAACGTTTGTGAGAAGCATTCCTATAACATAATTTGCCTTTAACAGCTGAAGCCCTGAACATGTAATAATGTGTCGTAAAGGCAGAGCAATTTTTACAAATTCCATACAAAAAGCAAATTCGCTATAATTTACCTATTCATGCCAAAAGTGCGAAACATGTAAAAGATAGTTTATCTATATGGCAAATGAATATTATTTTGGAAACTGTAACATGATACAGAAAAATAAAAAAAAAAGTTTTGAACACAAAATAAAATGATAGCATGTCGTGGGTATAATGGACCTTTAAATATGTACGATAGGAATTCAAGTCCTGAAAATGTTTCACTGTTATATATTTACACGGAGAACTAACTTATTTTCGTTTATCATTTTGGTAAATAATTCAGTATAAGATTATGTACAACATAACATAGATTAAAATATATCTCACCTGTGGTCTGCCCCCATACATGTAGAACAACCAACGTTATCGTGACCTTGACAATACATGTCAACAAGTTTACATGGTTTAAACCCGTGTCTCTCGCATCTTTGTGTTGGTGTTACAGGCAATGTTCCGCTTGTTCCATCTTTGACTTGATCTTTATCTAAATCTTATGTCCAGACAAGGCTGGAAATTCATCGTGTACATTTAGACAATCCGAACAATTATAATCATGGCAGTCAGCACAATATTTGTCCGCTTCTTTTTTTATTTCCTTACGTTTACAGGGAGAACAAAACAAATTATGTTTTTCGTCTGACTGTTTCTCAATCTCACTCCTCGAAATGTCAGCCATTTTCCTTGACACAAATTTATTTCATAAAATGAAATCCATTTTCGGTTTCGTTATCTATTAAAGGAAATGTCACTACCACGATCGATACTGCGCGAAAAATAAACCACTTCAGGTACGTAGAATATTTACAAATGTATACGTCAAATACTAAAGAAGTTAGTTTTATTGAATAGTTTGTGGTTATTATTTATTAAAAAATCTTACTCATATGAGACAGAAATGCATGTTTAAATTTGTAAATATTTTCTTTAAACCTTTATATAAATCTAACATCCTTGGGTTCATGTTTACTTTTTGAAAAAATGAGGTTCAATACTGAATTTATTAAACGAGTTTATTACAAGCGAGCTTTCTGTGAGACAAATTTTATTTTATCAAATGAGTTCAATACGCAATTTATTGAACAAGTTGAATGAAATTTTATTATACGAGCAAAATATTATTCTATTCAACGAGTTCATTAAATTCAGTAGTGAACCTGCATGAATATAATATTCTATTTATCACATTTTCAAAATATAGTTGCATTGACGCACTTATAGCGTAACGATAACTTATGCAAATGACGTCATATAATTTTAGAGCTGACCCGTTCTATATCCAATGTTTTGTTTTGTATGGACCTATATCAGTATCTTTTTGTTTTGCCTGTTGATAAATGAGGTCAACGTCACTGAGGCTCATTTTCTGTTTTCCCTTAGTTTTTATTGACCTTGATCTACAATTTTGTACGAATGTTTTTAATAATGCCATAATTTCAAGTGCCAATAGCAGATGTTCTTGTTAATAATATTCAATATGTACTTAATTTTGTTCTTTTATTCTGAGTGATTTGTAATATTTACTTAGTTAAAATATGTTTCAACGGCGGAATCAGTAATAATCAAACGATGAAATTCTTAATTAATTTTGTTTTTTCGAATACACTTATTTAAAAATTGCACCATAAAAGAATATAAAATTTATTATTACAATTTAAAAAAAGACTTTAAAAATCCATTTATTTCTACCATTACTTAAAACACTTAGATAAAGTTTTCGTTTCTAACAGAGATCTAGATGGTCTGTTTAGTACTATATCACAATGCTTAACATGGCTTAGTAAACATTTTCCCTTCAATGATTATTCTTGAAAAAATTCTGAAGATATACATTATTATATTATTGAGGAGTTTGGAAAAGCACTTTTAATAGTTGTGTGAATCAAATCTGATATGTTTAACATGTTATAATTAAAAATCACATAATCATTTAGATGGTCATATTCTATCTTTATTGTATTTAGTTAAGATCTTCTGAATCTTTGGTATCATCTAAAATTTCTAAATGTATTAACATTTTGCTAACTATATATTGAATACACCCAGTTGAACTTTGCAGACCACGATCAGCTGGCACATTTGTGCCGACTGAGTCAAACTTGGTTTGCACTTTTTGCTGTTCAGTCAGAACTTACTTTGATTTTTTCTTAAGAGAAGTTAGTCATATCATTGTTTTAACTGAATGCAAGTTTTCTTTTCCATTCATTTCATTAGCATGTACTTTTGCACGAAATAAGTTTATTATACACAATTCATTTTAGGTCTATTATGTAGGAAGCTGTAACCACATAAATAACATTCTCAAACCCATTCTTAGAACCATTTAAGCAATCTTGCTCAATGAAATATCGACATATCATGCTCCTAAGCGTGGTTAGATCTCATGCAGCCAGCAATCAAAATAGAAAATTTCATACCAGTGATTTTAGTGAATAGTGACCTTACAAGTGTCCGTTCAATCTTGTAATAAATTTCACAAAGTTAATCATGCACTCTGTGCCTAATTTAATTTTTAAAACTTTACATATGTTATCAATTAATCAATGCCAAGATCATTATCATTTCTTTTGCCAACAGTATACAATAATAAACTTTAAAGTCTATTTTATGCCCTCCATTTTCATTACGGTCCAGAAATTTTGTGTGGAAGTTGGTCGTTACTAGCTTTTCTTTTATATTTAATAAGGGGCTGGTCACTAAATGTTTATCTGGTCAATTACTAGGAACATAAAGTCATACATGCTTTAACTTTGATGCAGAGGTTGGTCAGTCATAATTTGTAGATGAAACATATTGTCTCAGGTCAGCTGGTCTCTTCAGAAGTAAAGGTCACTTAGGTTTCTGCTTCAAAACTTTGTTTGGTTTTATCATCCATCTATCCGTCATTTGTTTATGCTGTGGCTTTCTTTTTCTGTCGAGTTATATTATTCTTCCTTGCACTATATCGTTTATCCATATCCCTCCCTCTCCCCCACTCTCTCCCTGTGTAATGATGTAACAGGATGCAAAGTTCTGAGTTAGCTCTTAGTATTAAATGATTAGCCTCACCCCTCAGTATACAGCCAGGCAAACCTGAAAATCCGAAAATCCATACAATGTGACCAAGCGTTATTTTGCTGGCGATAAATATTTCTGTTATTTTTTTTATGAAATCCTTTTATATTCTGATTGGACTTTTTCAATTTCAAAGTTGGACAAACCCATAATATAAATTCATCTGATTAAGAGTTCAAATGATATTTGTTGGTACATGCGTAACGTATTAGGCAGTTTTTCAATGTACTTCAAATTATTGTGTTACACAGTAACAATTTTCTTAATATTACTAGTATTCTATTAGTGTTTTAGTACATGATAGAACATGTTTCATCTTTACTTCATGTAGTAATGAAAATAGTAAATCAATATTGTTTGATGTTTATAACAGTAAGACATGCTCCTTGTGATGTGAATTAAATATGAGATTAAATTTACAAAACTATTTGTTTTCTTTTATCAAATTTACATATAAACAAAATGGTCATTATGTGAACAAGAAAAAGGTTAACTTTTCTAGCTTTGTTAGCTTGAGTTGACTTTAAATGTTTAAAACATTTTAGGTTACCTGAGCACAAAGGTGACCTTTTGTGATTGCAGTTTGTCCGTTATTATCCAAAATTTCTTTAAACAATTTTCTAAACCATTTGATTGTGTTTTTTTACCAATTTCACAGGAATGACTCTAAGGAAGTCCTCTACAAATGTTATATAACTAGTTCATAAATATAAGTTTATCACAGGAGCTAAAAATAAAATCTTTAAGATCTCTTCTCAGAAACTACAATGCCAAGAGCTTATATATTTGGCATGAAACATCACATTGTGTTATAAGAGTTACATAAATCATGCCTGTTTGGTGAAATATATACCCTACTTGGGGTCGCTCAATTTACCTATGCTTATGTAGGAAAATAAGTCCATATGTTCTTTAAACTATAATGTCCATAGATATAGAGCATGTATTTTGCCAAGTGAATCTCGAAGAATTACAAATCATGTCTAATGGCTCAAAATTGTACCTGCCCTGCGTGCCACTTAGTTTATATGGCTCAAAGTTGTACCTGCCCTGTGTGTCACTTAGTTTATATAGATTCTTACAGGAAAATACATTTAAGTATTATTTTGTGCAACTACAATGCTAATAGCTAGGTATTTGTCCTTAAACCTTTCTTAGCAGACATATACAATGTTTTAAAAAATATACAGCTTTGGTGAAAAATGACAATCTTAATGTGATCTAATTACTGACCTTTTCAATGAAAAATAAAAGATGCGACCTTTTCTAGCAACGTTTCCCAGGTTAGCGGTCCGAGGCCATCATTTAAAAATTCTAAATGAAAACAACGCTCATAATTAATATAAGATGGCTGTTTAGATAAGATTTACAAGTGGAGGAGTAAAAAGACTTTTTAAATATTTTCTCTGGTCACCCACCTGCAAAAGTAACGGTGAATTCAATTGTAATAAATTTGACAGCATTTGTGCACATGTATATGCAGTTCACAAGGGATGAATTTGGCCCTTTGTATACTCTCGAAATATTTTTGGCGTATATTGTTATGCACCTGGTCGCCCTTCATCCGTTCGTCTGTCTGATAGCATTTTCTTGTCCGGCCTGTAGGTTCAAAAGTGATCTTTTAAAACGAGTTGAATAAAATTATATTATGCTAGCAAATAATATTTTATTCAACTACTGCAATAAATTAATTCAGGAATGACGTTACACGAATACAATGTAGTTACCACATACACAGAATAAAGACTGTTTAAGGCATAAAAGAATAATTTTCATTAACGCAAACATTTAGCGCCCCCATACACTATGTTTGTATAACAAATATGACGGCACATAATCTGATGGGGGATTCAAGCTGTCTTCATCATACTTATGAAATTACTTTGATGATAGAAAATAAATGATAATTGAACTTTTAATTAATTAATTATTATAAATGTGGCCTTTATATGACACCAAAAATGTATGAAGTAACATTTTCAATTTTAGACATTCATTTTTTTTGTTCTTTTGATCAAATAAATTCAGGACAGTCATGTGGATATACTATTTTACCATATCTTAATAATCTTAGAATTAGCTTTATTAAATTCATGAAGCGTTATCTTTTACACTGATATGTTTTTTTTTATTAAATATCAATTCCAGGATGAAATGTATAAATAAATACATGTTCATTCATTTTGAGTAAGATTTCTCCTTAAGATTATCTTAAAAGAATATCATTACAGATGTCTTTAAATTTGACCAATAAGTCAGTTATTAATTAACTGCCATGAAAGTTTAGATATCATTTGTTCTTTATTGTTCACTTCATGTCGTAGACTTCTATATAATCCCGGTTATATCGTCCAACTATCAGTCTCGTGTGATTGCGATCATAGCAAATCGCCCGACAACTTCCGGCTTGACCATCTGATGTAAGTATTTCTCCTACGACCTCACCATTTGGAGAAAATTGTACAATATTGTTACTTGTATCACCACAAACAAGTATATCTCCACCGTCTGTTTCACAAATCTCCCATGCATTTCTGAGGTTGGAAGGATTATATTTTCCATGTAATTTGCCTTCCTTACTAAGTACTACTAGACCATATGTCCAGTCAGCAACATAAACCCTCTCACCATCGTGACTAACTGTGAGACTGTATATATTACTAAACAAGTCATTACCTGACTGATCTTTGGAAAATTGTATCAGCATTGTCCCTGTCTTGTTGTAGACAAAAACAGCCTCCTTTGAATCCGTTACATAAATTTTCCCATTTCTGTACCCTAAACCATAACAGTTATGAGCGGTTTTGATTTCCCGTGCTACTTTTAGTGGTCTTTCTGCAGTTACAATGTCAATGTTCATTCCATAAAAGGAGGATACAGCTATCTCATTGTCAACTTCACAAATTTGCCAAGGCCATCTCGTTAGTTGACATACATCTATTATTTTGGAAGAGGCCAAGTCAAGACGTTTTAAGCTTTTATTATTGTAATCAGCAATAATCACACAGCCATTCTTAAGCTTACATATACTTCGTATATCATTACAGGTTTCAGAGTCTGAATCATGTTTCATACTAATCTCCCTCTTTTCCCCTAGCCTATATATAGCAGGTTTTTCCACAATGTCTCCCAATATGTCCATTTGGTCTATCATTGACATCAGCTTTGGTTGCTGTTCAAAGGCAACATCAAATCTTTTAAATTCCATTGTCTTCTCTTTTAAACCATTGTCTGCTCTTTCTGTAACCGAGTAAGCTACTTTCATCCCCACAAATTTTTGCGACACATTTGATGAGGCGGATATATTATCTGCTGCTGAAGTCTGAACATCGGTCTTGAAAGTTGTCAATATGGTAATTTGCTCTTCAAACTTCTTGATTAATGTTTTATATTTATCTTCTATGTTATCAATGTTCTTCTTTTCAAGATTGTCAAGTTTCTGGTTGATGTCAATCCGGAACTGTTTTATTTTTTCAACTTCTTCTTCTTTACGTTTGAACAATCGTTTTATTTCCCGTTGTCGTATTTTCAGCTGAAATTCAATGTCATCGGTAACAGCTAGCATGTTCTGTTGAACGTCGTCACATTGATTTGTAGGGTCATGATCTAAGATGTACTCAGGCATGTAGAAAACATCGTTACATGACCTGAAAATTGAATAATTTTAACTGTATATAATGCGAGGGCAATGCATTTATTTTACATTAGACATTAGCATTTCATTCTATCTAGATATGAATGCTGAAACTTGTTGAATTATATATGTACGTAAAATGTGATTTTCAGGCGCACTTTTTAAAGCTATTTTAAGAATCGTGTCTGCACATCAAGCATTTTGATTCTGTCCAAATATGATATGAAAATTATCATTTTCACATGTAACTAACTCATATATATAATATCTTTATTTGTAATTCATTGTTAGTCCCAAAAGTGTTATTTTTATATTCGAGTTAAGAACATTATAAATATTGAGGAAAGAAAACAATAATGTACTTGCGTAGTTCATTTTGTAAAGATGTATAAATTGATTAATGTTCAAATGTTACATAACTGACGTAAACAAACAGTTAACTCAGAAATGCGTTTCTTCATTTTCATTTGATACAGTAGCTATCTCATTGTGTAAATTATACATGTCTCCATAAAGCTTTCAACTGATATGTCTTTTAGTTCTCTTATGTTCAACTAATAATAGAATTATTTGAGGTTGAATCCGTATATCGCCGAGCCAATAAAATATTTTGGTACTTATTCAAATATTGGAAAGAAATTGCACTTCAATATACATGTATTCACACGTAAAACCTGTCTGGGTTTTATTTCAATAAACATTTTCAAATTAATTATAATTTTACTTGAATTTATTGTGAAAATCGAAACGGTTCCAAAGTACAGCTTGAAGGTGTTAACGTATTTTACATAAAGTCATGAAAACTATGCCATTTACAAAAGAAAACCTCATTTCTTACATAACAAACTCACATTTTTTTTTTCAAAATCAAAATGGAAAGATTTAGTGATATTCATTGCGCGTGCTGCCCCCAAAAAAGGTTATTTTTTAAAATAGAGTTGAAATACAGAGTTATAAAACAGTGAAATTTAAACCGTGCGTTTGATCACAAGCTATGTTTGTTAAATTGATATACGCACATCGTGACAGATGCAGCAAAATGAATACATTATTTCATTAACTTGTATCTTATAAAGTTTTTAAATTATTATGAAATAACCTTTCAAAATCATGTTCAGACAGAATGATAATTTGGATGTCAAGCTGAGCAAAATTCCTTATCTGATGGATTCAATGTAAACAAGGTTTATTTTTAGGTTTTTGTAAGCAATGTTAACACATATTTGGAAATTGATAAGAGGCAAATTAAGTAAACTAAACAAATATCACTATAATAAGTTTAAGTTACATTTACCTCATTATATTTATCATTTAATTTCGGCTAACGCAATACATGACAATAGAATGTGTCTTACCTGTGATCTACTGCCATACATGAAGTACAGCCAACGTTATCATGACTTTGACAATACATGTCAACAGGTTTAAACCCGTGTCTCTCGCATCTTTGGGTTGGTGCTTCAGGCAAAGTTCCGCTAGATCCATCCTTGACTTGACCTTTATCTAGAATCTTATGTCCAGACAGGGCTGGAATATCCTCATGAAATTTTACACAATCCGAGCAGTAATAATCATGGCAATCTGCGCAATATTTGTCCGCTTCTTTATTTATTTCCTTACGTTTACAAGGTGAACAGAACAAATGAAGTGGTTCATCTGACTGTTTTTCCATCTCACTCCCCGAAATGTCCGCCATTTTGCTTGTTACGAATTTACGTTTTATAAAATAAAGTCCATTTTCGGTTTCGTTATCTATAAAAAGATAACGAACCACGATCGATACAGCGCTAAAATAAACCATTTCAGATAAGTTGAACGTTTATATATTTAGGTCAAAGCGTTAATATAAAGGTAGTTTTATTAGTACTTTGTTTACAATTAAACTTTTGAAGTACAAATGCATGTTTAAATGTTTAAATATTTTTCTTTAAACATTAATTTATATTTAACAGCCTTGTACTAATGTCTATTTTGTTGAGGAAAATTGTAAACCACCATCTTTCTGCAAATAAAAAATATAGGGCTTCTTGTGGACAAAACAGTGGTTAATTGTTCAAGTTAAACCTCTGTCACACTAGGGCGGTGTTCTCAAGGCGTCCAAAGAAATTCCAGAACGCCGACGTAAACGCAGTAAGACCGCAAACATCGCCGCAGCATCGCCAAAGCATCGCAGTGACATCGCGCACAACGCCGACCGACGGCGCGCATTTTGAGCATGCTTAAATCAAACGATGTCACTCGGCGTTCTGATAAGAGCGCAGTGGGATCGCAGTAATGACACCGTAGCAACTCAGTAGCATCTCCTACAACGCAACAGGAGTGCCGCGAAAAAGCAGAAGGATCGGCGAATGAGCGTCGGAGATTGTGCAGCGTCTCTTCCGCGCTTTTACTGCGTGTGTACGTCGCTTTTACGGAGCTTTATTTTTCTAAAACGCTCTTACATAGACTTTACGTCACTGTCACGGCGACCCTTGCTTATATTTCCGTAATATTACTTCGTTTGATTCCGCAGTATGACGGAATCGCCCGAATTGTCACGATTGCAATCGGAACTACATAGGCTATTATCATTAATCCGAAGAGTGACGGAAAAGGCCGAAAAGTTGCGATTGGCACGAATGCAGCTGGTTTCCCGTTCAATCATGCACTAACAATTGGAAACAGGAAACCACCTTACCGGAACAAGTTATTCAAAACAAATGGCTTGCAGCCGTGGCTGCAAGCCGAAAATCTACTGTAAAAGGAATTTTTGACTTAAGAGTCAGTGAAAAAAAAAAGATGAAATATGAATTGGCAGATTATCTTGCTATTATACGAGTTGTCAAAGATAAGAAGTGTAAAGAAAAATATAAAATGGGATCTGTCAGGAACATGTACCTCAGAGCCTCTTCCAATCTTATTAACAATGTTTCCGCGCGAATTTAGTGAAAGGTTTATATAGAACGGCAACAAATGTCAGAATCATATGGCAAAATTATTCATTAAATTTCTATTTCATTCATTAACTTCGCGTCAGGTAGAAAAAAGTGCCGTAATATAACAAGTCTATCTGTATTATTTAGAAAAAGATAAATAATGGTAATGTTTTTGTGTCGCCTCTACGGAGTAGTGGCGACATATAGGGATAACTTCTCCGTCGTCTGTCCGTCCGTCCGTCACAAAACTTGTCCGTACAACTCCTCATAAACTACTGGTGCAATTTCATCCAAACTTTACAGGAATGATCAGTACCAAGTCTAGTTGTGCATATTATCAGCATTTTCCGGTTCAATGATTTTTGACAGAGTTATGGCCCTTTAATAATTTTTATTTTTAAAGTTTGTCCGGACTAATTCTCTTTTACCACTTATGCAATTTCATTGAAACTTTACAGGATTGATCAGTAGCTCAAGTCCTTGCGCACATTGCACGGGTTTTCTGATTGAATGATTTTTGGCCGAGTTATGGCCCTTTGATAAAAAGGTGTTTTTTTCTGTGTGTTGCCAGATACACAAAAGCTTGTCCGGACTACTCCTCATAAACTACTGGTGCAATTTCATCCAAACTTTACAGGAATGATCAGTACCAAGTCTAGTTGTGCATATTTTCAGCATTTTCCGTTTCAATGATTTTTGTCAGTGTTATGGCCCTTTAATAATTTTTATTTTTTTAAGCTTGTCCGGACTACTTCTCTTATACCACTAATGCAATTTCAATGAAACTTTACAGGATTGATCTGTAGCTCAAGTCCTTGCACATATTGCACGGGTTTTCCGGTTGAATGATTTTTGGTCGAGTTATGGCCCTTTGATAAAAAGGTGTTTTTTCTGTATGTTGCCAGATACACAAAAGCTTGTCCGGACTACTCCTCATAAACTACTGGTGCAATTTTATCCAAACTGTACTGGAATGATCAGTACCAAGTCTAGTTGTGCACTGTCCGTCTGTCTGTCCGTCTGTCACAAAACTTGTCCCAAAATGAAATTCGCCATCATGAGGGGACACATGTTATCACTGATCGCTCTTGTTTTTGACCTAAAAAGGAAGTCATGTAATAAATCAATCGATTATCAATACTAAAATATTCATTATAACTATTCGTTTACAACATTATGTTCTGATCATTTATAAAATACGCATAACATTGAATAAAACTGCCGTTATATCATAAGAATTGAAATATATATAAAAAATAAAAAAATGGATTCACGACATGTAATAAATCACTTTAGTGTTTGAAATTATTTTTTGTCCAATAGGATTGCAGTATTTCAAATGAATGTAAT